AAGTGACTGGTTCTTCCACCACGACAAGGTACTTGCCCATACCGTGCTAAGTGTTCAGCAGTTTTTGACCAAAAATAGCATGACTCTCATGCCCCACCTTCCCTATTCACCCACTCTCTCCCTGAGTGAATTTTTTTTTGTTTCCCTGGATGAAAAAAGTCCTCAAAGGGAAATGTTTTGCCAGTGTGGAAGAGGTGAAACAAAAAATAGCTGAAGCACTCAAAGGCATAAAATTGGAGAGTTTAAAAACTGTTTTGAGTAGTGGAACAAGCATCTCGATAGCTGTACTGCATCAAACGGAAAGTACTTTAAAGGTGTCTAAAGTTTAAAACTTGTGAGAATAAATACATCGTTTTTTATAAATAAATTCTGGGTTTTTTTGGTCCTCCCTCATACATGTATTTCAGTAAATTCCCATTTCACTGTCCACAGAGAAAGAAAATAAGCACAGAAGCAGAGATAAAATATTCTCATTAACATTGATGCCTAACTTTCCAGAGGCCCACCCTGATCTTCAGTCACACAGATCATTGTTCCCTTTAGATCCAGTTCATATATATGTCATAGGTCAGCTCTTAAGGTGGCCTTAGCTTTCATAGCCTAATGCAAACTATATAATCATAAGCTAGAGCTCCCATCAAAACATGCATAAGACATTTGACAAACTCACATGCCATTAGTGAAGGTATAAGAAGGGCCCCAAAAGTAAGTGCCCGTCTTTGTGATACAGGTTGAGTATCCCTTATCTGAAATGCTTGGGATCAGAAGTGTTTCAGATTTTGGGATATTTGCAGATGTATGATGAAATATCTTGAGGAAGGGACGCAAGACTAAACATGAAATTCATTTATGTTTCACAGACACCTTATATTCATAGCCTGAAGGCAATTTTATACAATATTTTAAATAATTTTGTTAAGTACTTATGTGTGGAAGTTTCCACTTGTGGTATCATGTTGGCTCTCAAAAATGTTTTGAATTTTGGAGCATTTCGGATTTCTGAATTAGGGATGTTCAACCTGTAACAAACCAGGCAAAGTAAAGGGGAAAATGAAATCTCATGAAGAAGCATATGAGGCTAAAACATCTAATGTATATAATTGCCCTTGTAACATTATCACCACTAACATGCTTAGAGTTCCTCCACAGATGCGATCAAGCAGTTTCCCAGTTATGTGAAGCACCTTCTGGGTGGGAGTCATGAAAAGTTAAAAAAACGCAGCCTTAGAAAGGTATCATCTGTAATAACTGGATTATTTTGTATATGTAAAAATGAAATTTATTTTTAATTTCTATCAAGAAACTATCTAAGTTTCCCAGTATGCTGTGAGAAAAAAGTCCCACAAAATCCTCTCTGATGCAAGAAGGAGAAATGCCTTGAACAGATTTCTTGGAGTAGCTTCTCTCAGGGCAGTCCACCCAGGCACTGTGCCTCATGACAGAGCCAGCGCCCATGCTATTCTGATTCTCTATAAAAGAGCCAGGAAGTCGCCTGCATCATGACCCCTCCACCCCATCAAGACAGCAAATCCAAGACAGGAGCTATTGAAGCTTTCATGCCCCCTGTGGTTCCTAAATAAGCCACTGCTTGCCTACTGTCCACCCCAGAAAATGGTACAGAATATTTTAATCACGCTCTTTACTCAGTATTTTCCGCTACCCAATGGATTTTTGAAACAGATCCCGGCTTAGAAATAATGCTGTAAGTTGGTCTGCTTTTCTAATCTAGCAAATGACCCAACGAGACATTCCAGACAACAGCTCAGTGGAAATAAACTTTCAGAAATGCTCAAATGTTACCAGCTGTGAAAATCTATGATAGAAGCAGCTAACAATTTCTTTAGAAGGGAGAAGGCAGAGCACTGGTAAAAGCTGGAAAGCAGTAAGATAAGGATGATTTTAGAAAATACTTTGTTCCTAAACAAGCATGCTTATAAGACACAGCCACTTGCAAGATAGTAAGGGATAACGTTAACACTGATTAAACTCTGGTCAGAGAAAAACGGACCCTGGCACTGGACATTGTGAACTACAGCATGGCATAATAAGAACACATGCTTATTACATGATAGAAAATATGCTAAGGACTTAAAATAAATTCACATTTAAGCCATATCACATTATTAACTCCTTTTTACACTTGATGTAATTGAGACAAAGAGTTCCAGTAACAAGTTCAAAGTCACAGAGCCACTAAGTGTGCTCACAAAAAAAAAAAAACATAAGTTAAATATTTTAAGTTTCTCAAACACAAGTTTTAAAATCACTTTGTAGATTTAATTATGATACTATTTCAGCTAGGAAGACCATGACCAAAGATGACTCATAAAGAGTATTTAAGTGATTTGGAATTAGAGACTCAAGTCTATAGCAAGTTGGGAAATAGTCAATTATCCTGATGCTTAAGGCATACTACACAGACTTTAACACAAGTTTTAGTTGTTTCTTCAGTTAGAATTTTAACATTTCCAAAAAGATTTATTATGCTGCTAGAGCAAAATAGGAATAGAGTTGGGAAACTAATTTAGTTGTACATGGGAAGGGAAAAAGGAGAAATAATGACATTAAAGTTGATTAGTCCTTCATTTTGGTATAAGTCACTTAGGGAAGAATGTGGGGCTAGTTACCACTCCAGCTTGCATGCATGTATACCACAGACCAGAATGAAGGTGTTGTATTCTGACGAAAGTATTAGACTATTGCTTAAAGCCCTACCCTTGACAGCAGTCTACTATTGATATCAGGTCCCCTCGGTGAGCTGAGCAGAACATTTCCCTGCAACGGGGAGAAAAGTGCTACATGCCAGAACCTCTAGAACAGGGTTTTCTGGGAGTTAGCTGCTTCCTTTATAGCAGTGTTTGGATAGCAACTGGAAACACAGTCAAAAAACATCTTGCTTTTTGGAAGAAAAATAATGAAGTGTTTCATCCACAAGGAAAAAGAGTGTGTCACATAAAACAGGAAAAAGATCACTCTACAGGACACATTCTGTGAGTACTGGGTATCTGTTGCCTTAGGAGTAGAATATCCACTATGCCACGATGCTTGCTAGTCGTGGAAGGAGGGGTACATGTCTCAGAGTGCCTTCCTGGCCTTTTCTGACTATTGAGCACTAGCATTCCGGTTCATCAAATCCACTATAAACTATTCAGTTATAATTTCCTTTCTATACCAGCCAAACCTCTAACCCAAAGTCAAATCAAACCAAACCAAAATCAAAACAATCAAAACAGGAAAAGCTACTTCTATCACAGTTCTGTGTGGTTCTATCTGTACCTTTGAGAATAAGTTATCATTAGGCACCTTTTGTCCAATAGGCTAGTTCTGTATTTGAAATGTTAATCATATAAAAGTGAAGGAAAAGATAACAGATTCATCTATTATGTCTTAATTCCACTGTGAAAAAATTCAAAAATTAGGGCTCCAGTAAGCCATGAAGTGAGACAGAACATCACATTGATGCTAGGCATATTTCTACCACCAACTTCTTCTTCTTTTTTTTTTTTTTTTTTGAGTCCGGGTCTCACTCTGTTGCCAGGCTGGAATGCAGTGGCATGATCATGGCTCACTACAGCTCCAATCTCCTGGGCGTAGGCAATCCTACCTCAGCCTCCAGAGTAGCTGGGACTATAGATGTGTACCATCATGCCTGGTTATTTGTAGAGACAGGGTGTCACTATGTTGCCCAGGCTGCTCTCGAACTCCTGGGCTCTAGCAATCCTCCTGCCCTAGCCCCTCAAAGTGCTGGGATTACAGGAATGAGTCACAGGGTCTGGCCATCAACTTTTAAATTGAACATATATCAGGGAAAACTGAAGAAATCTTCAGGAGAAACACCAGGAGAATGTGCTCATTCCCTTTGCTTCAGAGCCTCCTGAATCACTTTCTCTTTGATGAGAATTTGATCTCTATATCAAGATTTCACACATAAAAAAAATCACAATTACTTATTAAAAAAACAGTATTTAAAAACAAACAAAAAAGGGTTTCTCAAAGAACATGTTGCTTTTTTGTGGCAAACAATATTTATCCAATTCAAATATGCTTCTAAGCATCATTTATTAAAAAATGCCTTGTGCTTATGGATGCTAAGACATCTCTATATAACTTTCATAATCAATTGACGGGACTCTGCATACAGTTCCATTGATCCTTTCAGTTGTAACTCTATTAGCACCTGCTTAACTAACTAAAAATATATGTCTTGTTTTCTCCTTCTTGAGCTCGACATTTTTTAAGAGCTCAGGCCAGTTACTCTGCCAGGTTTCGCCACTGTCAAGCTCACAAAAGAGAGAGGTCAACTGAGGAACACTTTCAGACTAGAGGAGACCAAAGAGACAAGACAACTTAATTCAGCGTATGTTCACAGATTGAATCTTGGACTCAGAAATAGGTGAGAAAGTCTGAATAAGGTCTATACATTAGATAACAGAATTTTACCAACATTAATTTGCTGATTTGAATACTTATACTATGGTAACATAAGAGAATATCTTTCTTTTTAGGAAATATACACTAAATAATTTAGAGGTAAGATTGTTGTGTTTATAACTTACTCTCTCAAGTGTTTCAGAAAAAAACTAAGGAGAGTGATAAAGAGAAGGGGAGAGGCTGGCAAAACAAGTATTATGATTACACTTAGGGACTTGAGGTAAAGACTATATGAGGATATTTTCTACTATTTTTGCAATTGCTTTTTTCCCCAGTGGAGGCATTTGTAACTATTTTTCTGGTCTGAAATTATTTGAAAGTAAGAGGTTAAGAAAAAGTCAGATTTATACTGAAGAATGTAACAAAATTAATGTATTAAGGAGATTTTTAGGTAGCAAAAGAAGGAAGATCCCAAAGCTGAACTCTATGCAACCTTCTGTTTAAGAGCTGAGCCATTCATTCAGAAGTAGTGAGCAAATTTTGGAAGGTACTGCTATAGGGTCTTAAAGCGAGAAAAATAATAGGAAAAGTGGTTATAATGTCATATATTTAAAAATTAGTATACTCACTGTCCAATCCAGGAGGGCTGATTGTCATTAATGAGATGGATTTTGTCAATGGAGAGGAAATGGCTGATGTACAGTAATTAAATCCCTGTTGTTTAGATCTGTGACAGGTCTGTGAAGTAAAAAAGTGAAGAACAGGTTCTAAGTACATGTTTCTGTACTTCTAGGTAAGCATGGAACTTTACATTCAAAGACTCAGTGAAATAAGGAGGTAGAGAGGGAGGTGAAGCACACAGGCTTCCTAGTCAGACAGACTTGAGCCAAATCTGCTCCTGCCACTGAACAGCTGCTCAACTTCAGAGTAGTTACTGATCTTTTCTGAGGTTTATTTTTCTCAGAAAAATAGGTAAAACAGGGTTAAATAGAGTTTCCATCATTTATAGTGGTTTTGTATCCCTCATAGTAACTTTTTCAGATTTATGTAAGTGCTTAATAAAGATCTGCTGGATGCACAATCAGATAAAAATAACATCACTGGAAATATCAAACTACATACAGTACTGATTCTTTGCAAATCTAAATATTCCTTTATAGAGATATAGTAGGATATCAGTAATATTGTTCTGATTTTAAAGAGTTGGAAATTGAGATGCAAGTAAAAAGTGTTTCAAGATCACAAGCAAAACAAAAGTGCATCTGGAAAGAAGCCTAAATCTCTTTCATTTCCTCTTCTAAGATTAGACTGATTCTACGTGAACAGAGTGTGAAAGGGTGCCTGAAATTTGATGATTCAACTCTCAGTAAATTTACAGAAGGTTTAAGACCATACAATCTACTGAATTGCAGAAATTCCTGCTACAATATCCCTACAGATAGTCAACTAGTGTCTACTAGCACACTTCTGGTGATAAGGGGCTCTGTCCCCCTTTTGTTTTGAGAGACCCCATAACAACTGTCAACCACCTTTAATTATCATCAATCCCTTCCCTTCATAGTAGAGTGAAATCTGCCTCCTTGTGATTCACACATGTTGAAAAGGAAGCAATGAAAAATCCATTACTAGCATGAACTCAGCTCAATTAGGCCAGGTTTCTGATTATTTAGAGCTTGTTTCACATGTAACCATGGAATCTGAGGCAAACAGTTGCTATGTTTCAAAGACAACTGTGAGGTCTGAAAAATGACCTCAGTGAAAGGCAGAGACATAGAGCAGGAAGTTGGCTGCAGGCAACTTGTCCAGATCAGAGAGATACAAGCAGCTCAAATACCCAACCTGGGGTTGCTCACAAGATAACAACTATGGGCAAACTGAGAGTTCCAGGAAGGCTAAGCATAGCAGGGCACTAAAATGTTGACAACTTCATCTAGAAAGACTGTATCAGGGAGTTCACTTTAGAAAGACATCAGTGGGTTTGTAAATAGAATCACAGACTGAGAGCTAGTATATCCCTTCAGATTCAGCTCAAGCGCTTATGTGTGACAACTTCAAGCCCATTTGAGGGACTTGCCTAAGGCCACATAAGTGACTGCTAGCTGAACAGTATTAAACTCAGAGCTCCTGACTGGTAATCTCACTGTTTCTTTTTTCTTTTTTTTGAGTTGGAGTCTCTCACTCTGTTACCCAGGCTAGAGCACAATGGTATGCTCACAGCCACCGCAGCCTCAACCTCCTGGGCTCAAGCAACTCTTCCGCCTCAGTCTTCCAAGTGGCTGGAACTACAGGCACACACCACCACACCCAGCTAATTTTTCTTGACTTATTGTAGAGACGAGGTCTTGCCAAGTTGCTTAGGCTGGTCTGGAACCCCTGGGCTTAGGCAATTCTCTTGCCTCCACCACCCAAAGTGCTGGGATTACAGACGTGAGTCACTATGACCGGTCTTTTTAAAAAAATTATAAATGTTTCATTTGGAGAAATTAAGATGCATCCCAGAATCCTTTTAGAAATTAATCCAAAGTCTCCTGACCCAAAAGGAAGAAAAAGAACTGGGATTAAGGTAGAATGTTATAAATGCATATTAATTCAAATTCTCAACTCAAAAACTCCCCAAGGTATTGTCAAAATTGCTAAGTGATAATGAGGAGACTAAGAAGATAAGAACTAAAAGGAAGTCACTCAATGTGGCTGGCAAGGAAGTCCATGACCTTCAAAACAGGAGTATCAAGAGAGTAGTAGCAGAAGAAATATGAGATGATTAGGTGGTGATAAAAAGAAGGAAAGGAGTGTAGACATTCTCTTAAGAATTCTGGTAGGAATGAGAAGCAGAGAGACTAGTCATTTCCTGGGCAGTATGATAAGAAAGTTTTGTTTTTTTTTTTCCCTATGAAGGAAAAACTTGGGGTATGTTTTAGAAAACTGGTAAATTTAATAATGATATATAACAAATTTCAAGACTCATTTTGCCGGGCTCGGTGGCTCAGCCTGTAATCCCACGCTTTGGGAGGCTGAGGTGAGTGAACTGTTTGAGCCCGCGGGTTCGAGACCCGCCTGGGCAACTTGGCGAGACCTCATCTCTACAATAAATCAAAAATTAGCCGGGCGTGGTAGCGCATGTCTGTAGTTCCAGCTACTTGGAAGGCTGACACGGAAGGATCGCTGGAGCCCAGCAGGTTGAGGCTGCGGTGGCCCAAAGCGGCCACTGCCCTCCAGTCTGGGCAATAGAGTGAGACTCCAACTCAAAAAAAAAAGACTAATTTTACCATTTAAGGTGGTAAAAGAAGGCCTCAGATAAGAAGGAAAAACCCAATTTTAATATTCTGGAAACTTATTCTAATTCTAAAACGTTTGCTTTGACAAAGTATTTAAATTTATACAGATTAATGGTATTCTTTAAGTAGTATTCAGTGCTAAAAACCTGCTTTAGTGTTAGATTAAGTAATTTTATAATCATTGCTACTAGCCTTATACTAACAGAAGTTTTGCCTTCTATGTCCATATTCTGAGAAATAAATTTTTTCCAAATTAGAAACAGTTCAGCCTTACCTGCTGATCAAACATCCTATGTTCTCTCTGGCCTGATTCCAGATTCTCTTCTGAAAGTGACATCAAAGAGTCACCCCGTTCCTCACCACTGAAAGGGTGTCTGAGCTCTTTGGTGTTTGCAGAGTTTACTCCAAGAGATGAAGATGGCTTGTTTCCAACACCAGCTCCTCCTGTCAAGCCTTCTAGACTGAAACTGAACACAGGGCACAAAAGTTAATTCATTTTATTTCTGGACCTCAGAAAGGAAGGAGGATACAAAATCCTTTTAGTTACAACTCCCTCGCTTGCATATTATTTCTCTATCACCTAGCAAAACTGTCTAAAAAGGCACACCATGAATGAATACCACCTACCTTTCTCCCATAGATATTGGAATACTGAGGAAGAATACAGCATTTGGATATTCTTACCTCATTCAGTTTATCCAAATGTTGAACCAGTTAGCACTGCTTTCTCAGATTTTTTTTCAAAATATACCATATAGACCATATTTGTCTTACTGGCATATTATTTATGTTTTTCTTTGATCTGATATAATTAATCTTGGCCAGAATCTAGCTCTACCGATGCCAAATAATTAGAATAGAGAAAATATTGAGCTTATGTAACTTTCATAAGGCAAACTGAGTGACTTGCTTTGTGTCCATTAGGCAGACATTTATAACTTTACATTCAACTACATGCTAGCTGATCTTTATAATTTTGCAGGTATGCATCCAACCCAGAGAACCTCTCCACACACCTGGCTGAACAACTGCTGACAGGCTTCCTGAGATTTGTTAGTTGCAGACAGGCACATATAATACTTTAAAGAATAAATGCTGGGAAACTACTAGGTTTAAGAGCAGTAAGAGTTGTCATTTTTGCCTGGATACTCGTAAAGAAAAAAAAAAAGCAAACAGGATCTGACATTTTAAATGGGATCCCTGGGATAAAGATTTGTGGTTGCAGAGTGAAAAGGAAGTTCTGTAAGCAGGAAGCTAAGAGACAGGCTAGTGATCAATCCTCCCTGGGGTTGCTAACTAGAATAATTCACATCTGTTACAACTGCAGTGGAAACCTCTTTAAAATAATCAAGATCTCAAAATATAGTTGTAGATGACCATGTTCTCAGTTAACAACAAGCAGGAATTGAATTTGAAGGTGTAGTGAAGCTATTTAGTTACCTCTGCTCAGGGAAAACTGTACAAATAATTGCTACAATTAAGTTCACACGTGCCAGTCCAAAAGGGCTTGTATTTTCTTTTTGTTTTATAAATCACTTACGAACCGAAGACATATATCTCTTTTTTCTTTAGTGGGTAAATTAGACAATAGATTTGTTTTTCTTATTTTGATATGACAATAGACACCATGTCTTTGTAAAACTCATTTTTAATAACAGGGATAGGAAGATGGGCTAAGTGAAGAAGAAATTTAGTTTTCTATTATGAATTATTTGGAAAGCCTAAGAAAACCAGCTCTATGCTTACTGTAAAACAATCCTAAAAATGTTTTATAGTAATTAAATCTGGTTGTTTAGTTGAGAAAAGAATATGAAATTATGAGAAGTCTCTGATTTTGGAATCTAAAAAGGCTGGTGGATTTGGAAGCATAATCAAAATTAGTACATTTTATTAGCTGCCTTGCTTCTCTCATTGTTTTCCTCAAGATTCGGGAATTCCTAGAATCTGGGAATCAAGACAGACCAAAACAAAGAGAAGTGGCCTACCATACCACAGACACAAGTCTGTGTAGAAAATACAAAGTCTACAGTCTCTTGAGACCAGTAGGATGGATGCATCATCTGACTCCTAGGCTATAATCCTTCAACTGGGTCACTGATACCCACAGCAAAGGCAATGGAACACTGTGCTCACAGACAAAGCAGGCGGCCCCTATGCATCCTAGCCATAGAGAAGCCAGCTCCAAGCCAGAAGCCCAGATGCCATAGTTTATGGTTCCCCATTTGGTGGCTGGACATATAAAGATACTGTACCTTCTGTAATTAAAGTCAGCACTCAGGGCAGCAGAGTATTGTACACCAGAGGGACACCAGCTCATACTGGGGATGACATCAAAGGCAGAAATAGAAACACAAGGAGAAAAGAGGAAACAGGGATGGGATTATTAGGTTTAAAAGAAAGGGCATAGCTAGAGACAGATGGATTTATTAATTAATCATCAAAAAATTTAAAAATCTAACACGGAGAATTTAGAAAAAGGCTAGAATAAGAGCCACGAAAACTTAAAATTGTTTTATTGATGTCATCTAGATAGTATTTTAGAAGACTACATGAGGTCTTTACAGTAGAACCAGTTTAACTTGAAGTCCGAGAATTCCTTCTAGTGAACCCTGGCAAAGAAGCCACCTCACCTGTGGCTTCCTCTACAGACATTCTCAGAGAACTATTTCACCTTCACTATTGGGAACAATTTCTCTATATACCTCATACTCTCACATCACCCCTTCCACACTATCTCTAAACCTGGACTAAAAGAGACAGTGATAAACTGCACTGCAGTAGGCGCAGAGTCATCAGTCTTTTAATGTATTTCCAGTAAGGATCCATCTAAACTACACATTTCATAGCTTTTGCATGATAAGCATACTCAGTCAATACTTGCATCCATCTTGAAACCCTACTCACTAGGTTATTATACTAAAGATAAAGCATATAACAATGATTATATATTTGCTTGTATATTAATAATAATGAAATTTTTTTTAAAAAGGGAATTCTTTGGTATCTTTTAATGTTTGTATCCATTTTCCCCCAAGATAAAAAAATCCATTTGACTATCTACTTGCTTGATTGTCCCAGTACTGATATCTGTTCTCAAGCAGCAAAGACAGAAAATCTGGGGTTGAAAATGCAAAGCAAATATAACCAGATAAAAAATATAATAACACACTTAAAATATTGGGTATTCTGTGAAGGGAACTGCACAAAAGATCAGGACTTTTGACTAACAAAAGCTATCATTTTAAAAACACACTGCTATGCTGGCCTTACAATTATAAGCCAGGAGTGTCCAACCTTTTAGCTTCCCTGAGCTACATCAAGTAAACTTTTGGCTTCCTGGGGCCACAATGAGTAAAGAGGAATTGTCTTGAGCCACACATAAATTAGATAATATAGTGTATATACATAATAGGATCTTTTAAAATTTTTTGTTATAAAGTTTAGAAAAATGATAACTAGTGAGCAACTTGACCCTGTTTTGGTAAAACTAATCTATCAATGCCTGGTTCGATGGAAGTGGTCATAATTCTTAGTGAGTTCTCAAGATGCTCGTCAGAAATGTTTGTTTGAATTTTGCTCTCCATGTGCTTCACAACTGAAAACAGCTGCTTACAAATGTATGTGCTGCCAAAAAATAATGTCATGAATAAGGCGTGATTGTGAACTTCAAAAATGGAACCAGGCATGGGGGTCATGAAAAAATAAAAGCTAAAAAACACATTATGTTAAACAACTTTGTGGGGCAGCTTACTAGCTGCCCTAGGCTGAAATAACCCAGTGGGCTGTGAGTTGGACATACCTGTTATAAGTTATATATATATATATATTTTTTGAGGTGGGGGTAGTGGGGTGTGATAAAAACAGAGCTCCTGGACAACTATAAAACCACTCAGGTCCTTCTGAATCTTGCAGATGAAAAAGCCTATGTTGAATATATTTAATAATTTTGTTTTTTCATCAAGTGGAGGTTTTTGGCAGAGGAAAGGAGACAAGAAAAATAGTGAGAAGATATAAAAGCAACTGCTATGGCTCTCCTGAACATGAATCTTTAAGATAACATTTAAAAATAATTTAAACAGTATCAATTGTTTTAAATCAGGTTAAATTACTAGTATAAAACTAGCAAGGATAAGAGCAAAAAAGCAGAAATACGCAGCTGTGACACCTCTCTAGTTTGGTAAGTGGATCAAACTAACTTATAATTTACTTGTGTGAGAAGATATATTTTACAAATACACACAAGACAGAAGTTCATTCTTGGAAATTATTATCTTAATGTCGAATTCTTTTTTTTTGAGTTGGAGTCTCACTCTGTCGCCCAGACTGGAGTGTAGTGGCCGCTCCCAGTCACCGCAGCCTCGACCTGCTGGGCTCCGGTGATCCTTCTGCCTCAGCCTTCCAAGTAGCCGGAATTACAGGCATGCGCTATCACGCCCAGCTGATTTTTTGATTTATTGTAGAGATGAGGTCTCGCTGCCCAGCGGGTCTCGAACCCGCGGGCTCAGGCAATCCACTCACCTCAGCCTCCCAAAGGCATGGGATTACAGACTGAGCCACCGAGCCCAGCAATGTCAAATTCTATAACAGTTAATAAATACGCATATTTACCTAAATATCCAATTTCTTTTAAAAAATAGAATGTGGTAAGTCAATAACTGAATATACAGTGTCAAACCATTATTCTTAAAAATAGTCTCCTACAGATTGAAACATGTCTTTACTTTCAAAATATGATAATGACATGGAAGACTGAGATGAAATTTAAGATGACAAGAATGAAAACAATAGGGAAACAGGAAGAGAGATACACAGCTTTTCAAAGGATTCAGGAAGGAAGCTGCAGATGGTCTATAATGCCTGACCTTCCCTGTAGGAGTAAATGCCTTTCATAATGTTTGTTTTATTTTGAATTGGGGTCTTACTCTGTCACTCAGGCTGGAGTGTAGCAGCATGTTCATGGCGACTGTAGTCTTGACCTGTTGGGCTCAGGTGATCCTTCCGCCTCATCCTTCCAAGTAGCTGGAACTACAGGCATGTGCCACCACACCCAGATAATTTTTTGGTTTATTGTTTTGGTTTATTGTGGACACAAGGTCTTGCCAAGTTTCCCAGGCTGGTGTTGAACCCCTGAGTTCAGGCAGTCCTCTTGCCTCTGCATCCCAAAGTGCTGGTATTATGGGCACGAGTCACCATGCCCGGCTGCATTTCATAATTAAGAGCATTTTTGAGAATATCCTAATTTCCTCAATTCATTAATTAATAAAGGCAGTATTTAATGGTTCTTTGGCTTTATTTTGAGATTGAGAGAGTTCTAGATTAAAAAATAAAAACAAATGTCCTTCTCCCTATCTGTTAATAGCTGTTGGAATTTTTCAATTTTACAAAACTTAAAATTTTACATCATATTCTTCCTACAAAAATAAGTTTCATTAAGGGTAAACTTGTAACTGGAATTGTTTATGACAGTCGCATATATATGCTAATTTGAACTGCATTCAGCAACTTGTCATCTTCTACCTTGAAATCAAGTGCATATTTTTAATAAGTTCAAATTGAAGAGCTTTAATAAAAAGCCAAATAAACATAACTCCAAAGACTATAGATACTTCTACCGAAAAAGGCAGTTAACAACTTGTTCACCAGAAAACTAACTTAAAAGGAGTCATGATTATCTGAAATTAATGAGAAAATTTGAGTTTAAATTCAGTTTTTTTGCCTAAAATCTGGAATTAAAGAAAGCACTCACTTGAAAAAGACAAAGTAGAAAAGATAACTATTTGCCTGCTTACCAACAAACAAAAGTTCTGCTAAAATAGTTAAAAAATACTTCTTTACAAATGTCTCCTAATATGAGAAGTTAACATCAATACAAACCTTAATTTTTGAATTTTTTAATGTTTTCCTAGCAATGGGAAAAATGTCACTATCAACTACTGAAAACTAAAAGTTAAAAAAAAAAATCTACCATTTGAAAAATTTGAAGCTAATCAGCACTTTTTGAACAGAAATTACTTCTCAACAAATAAATAATTAATTTTTAGCTTTGAAAATGACCTGGCCAAAAGTAATTAAGGAAGTCAAAGACTGAGAAATCAACTTATGCCTCTAACTTGCTTTAAGAAATTACTATATTGCCGGGCTCGGGGGCTCAGCCTGTAATCAGCACTCTGGGAGGCTGAGGTGAGTGGATTACCTGAGCCTGCGGGTTTGAGACCAGCCCAGGCAACTTGGCGTGACTTGTCTCTACAATAAATCAAAAATTACCCGGGCATGGTGGTACACGACTGTAGTTCCAGCTACTTGGAAGATGAGGCGGAAGGATCGCCAGAGCCCAGGTCAGCGCTGGGGTGGCCGTGCGTATGCCAGTGCACTCCAGCCTGGGTGAAAGAGTGAGACTCCAACTAAAAAAAAAAAAAAAAAAAAAAAAAAAGAAATGACTATATCAACAATGGAGTGGAAACTTCCAGGTGGCCTAGTAATGAAGTCTTTCATCATATTATTAAAGAATGTGTTGAAAATATTTTAGGGCCTGTGTACAAGCACAGTCACATTACTGGTTTTCCTTTTGTGAAGAAATAAAAAAGTTCTCTTCGGGGCCCATTTGACAACAAAGACAATTCTTTGAATTCTTCTAGAGAAAGTTGGGTGAAACCCTTTTACCAAAGTCATCTGAACACCAGTAAGCGCAAGATAAAAACATTTTTTTAAAATGTTTTTTAAAAGATAAAAATAGAATAGGATAAAACTTCAAATTATAGAAACCATTTTCTATGGAATGGACTTCAGCAATTAATTAAAAAGTACCCATGTTTTCTTTGCCTGAATTAGATGTACATTGTTTAAAAGTAGATGGTCCAATCATGGATTAAGCAGAATGAGATGTTTGTTAGTATATGCTCAGAGGCGATATGGTTAGTCCATCAAGTTAGCAAACTCTGTACCTTCTCCTATGAATGGGAGGTCTCCTGACAACATCCCCAAGAACTCGAATTGAACTGAAAATGAATGGTGGAAGAGGTCAGTGTTGCAGGTGAAACAAAATGGGATACAAATGCATGAAACATACAGACGCCACACTGGGAAGAAAGACAATCCCCAAAGGAAATAGCATGAGAGGTAAGAAAATAAAAGAATGTAGAATAAGAAAAATATCAGAACCAAAAAGGCCTGACAATTTCTGTGCTCTTTCCTTACTCTATGGAGTAAATTGGATAACAAAAGTTATACAGTTTCTTAAATTATACAAGTAAAAGGTTCAGAAAAAAAATTGCCATTCAAAACTTTAATTCAGGTTACACTATATGAAATAATACTGTAAGAATTAATCAAACTCATTAAAGTGATAATTAAAACCTAACTCTCATTCCAGTATTTCTAGAGGTTTAGGACAGTGATGGTAGGTAACCCTTCATACCAAATCCAAACAGGAGATCCCATGACCTTATACAGGTTGAATATAAATAACTTAGGTAATAAGGTTCTAGTCTCAGTTTTGTCTTAAGATCACCATATAATCTTGGGCAAATCATGTATTCAGAGCTTCAATTTCCTCATCTGAGCTACATGATTGATACAGTCACATGTGGCTCTAAAATCTAAGTTATGACAAAAGGCTCCAAAGTAAAATAAAGACAAATTGATCACATATATCAAATAAACCTTGACTGGGCATGGTGGCTCATGTCTGTAATCCCAGAGCTTTGGGAGGCCCAGGAAGGAAGATGGCTTGAGGCCTGAAGTTCAAGACCAGCCTGGGCAATGTAGAGCAATCCTTAGCAATCCTTGTCTCTACAAAAACCAAAACAAAACAACACTCAGCCAGGTGTGGTGGTGTGTCCCTGTAATTCTAGTTTTTTGCAAGGCTGAGGCAGAAGGTTGGCTTGAGTTCAGGGGTTCAAGGCTTAAGTGAGTTATGATTCCACTACTGCACTCTAGCCTGGGGGACAGAGCGAGACTCTCTCAAAAATTTTTAAAAATGAAAAAAATTCTCATTTCTTGTTGCTGTTATCATCTAAGATAAGGTTGTCTTTTTTAAAAAGTTACCCTTGTTTCAGGAAGAGAATTCTGGCTGGAGGGATTATTCTCCATGTACTTATATTTTCTATTGTTGTGAATGTCAAAAAAAAAAAAAGTACTGGCTGGGTGCAATGGCTCATGCTTGTAATCCCAGCACTATGGGAGAGCAAGGCAAAAGGAATACTTCAGTCCAGGAGTTCGAGACTAGCCTAGGCAACATAGTGAGACCTCATCTCTACAAAATTAAAAAAAATTAGCTGGGCATGATGGTGTGTACCTGTAGTCCCACCTACTGGGTAGGCTGAGGCAGAATTATTTGGGCCCAGAATTTGAGGTTTGCTCTGGTGAGCTATGATAGTACCACTATACTCCAGCCTGGGCAACAGAGTGATACTTCGACTTTAAAAAAAAAAAAAAAAAAGAAAAAGTACAACATGAATAAAACTGGGAAGGAAAATGTTTAGAAATTGCTTTTTATATAATGTAGGGTCTCAAATATATATAAAAACTGCCTAGTAGATAATGAACACTGCTTATTTTTAAGGTTAGCATCTTAAATGTCACCACAGAATAATAGGAAGTGTAGAAAGAACAGTTGACTAAGAGACCAGAAACCTGGATTCTACTGACCTTGGAGAAATAATGTAAACAATTTGCACTAGTCTCCTCATCTGCAAACATGGGCATAATACCACTCATGGACAGGACTAAAAAATTACATGAGAAAATGTGTCATAAAAAGAGTCTGGCCAGGCGTGGTGGCTCAAGCCTATAATCCAAACACTTTGGGAGACAGAGGTGAGAGGATTGCTGAGCCCAGAGGTTTGAGAACAGCCTGGGCAACCCGGCAAGATCTTGTCTCTACAATTAATTAAAAAAAAAAATTAGTCAGGTGTGGCGGTGCATGCCTGTAGTTCCAGCCACTTGGGAGGCTGAGGCAGAAGGATCACCTGAGAAATAGCAGGTGCCACTGCACTCCAGCCTGGGTAACAAAGTAAGACTCCAATAAAAAAATAAGAGTCTGGAAAGACTAGGAAATTAGCAAAGTGTAAGAAGGTATTCATTACTGTGAGCTCCATGAAGGCAGGAACTTTGTCTTTTTTACCTCTGCATCTCCAGAACCTAAAACAGTGCCTGGCGTGTATTGAGTGCTCAATGTATGTTGGCTGAATACATGAGTATTCACTCATGATTTGTTTACATGTACTTACAGTCATAATATTATGAGAAGGTTGAAGCATTAAAAAAAAAAAAAGCAAATAATTGCTCCAGCTGAGCTGTTTACATCAATTGTTTTAAAACAGCTGCCAGCCTCCTCCCTTAGCTGTTTTCCTCAGTGAGAAAGCAGCTATGGAATAAGCACACTCTTATAAGTACAGGAGGCACTATGACACTTGTTCTTTAGAGCTAAAGTCACCTGCTTAAATTCATCTAGGCAGTCAGCGGTCAGAAGTCAAATCCAACTTATCTTCTTTTAGCCTGCTTCTAAACTGAAAGACTAACATTGGGTCAGTTATAAAAGTCCCAAGATCATATGACACACAGGAAAATATCAACAATTTAATGACATACAATGAGTCTTATGTTCTTTTTAGAGTTAAACAATGATAATTTAGACTTCTATCAAAACTTTCTGCATTAGAAACAGATGGCTTTAATTCTCAGAAAGCAGGGAAAAACCTGGAAATGTTAAGATGTAAGGCTTTGTGTTTATTTCTTAACTCAAAATTGACAGGAAACTACTTCCTTCAATATTTTCTAATTCATGAATGTCATTAACACATCTGGCAAGAATAAACATTACTATTTACTAAATACTCACTATATGACAGCCATATTTAATTTCATTATAACAAATAATAAAGGAATTTTACAGATGAAAAAAATTAAAGCTCAGAGGGGAAGTGACTCGCTGAAAGTAAATTAGAGTTGGAGTCTGAACACAGGTTTTTGATTCCAAAGCCTACACTATGGTGTCTCCTAAATTCTTTTACCAATAATAATACCAAATCAGAAACTTCTCCAAAGTAAGCAGACGCTGAGACACTAAACAAACAACCTCCCATCTCACCTGCGGTGGTTCATTTCTGCATCACTGGCTGCATTTTTCCCAGGCCCCCAGCTGTGCCTCCGGAAGGGGGACAGAGAGCGCATGGAGCTTCTCAGGACAGAGCAGTTTGCAGGCACTTCAGTGATGCTGTCCATCTCCTCCTCCTCCATGTCACCTGGGCCAGCAGGTTCACTCTCACTCTCTCGACCCTCAGCTCCCACCCCATGGCTGCAGCAACCATTCAGGCTTTGCCGATCTCCGGACCTGTTTGACTTTGAAATCTGAGGGAGGGAAACATCGCTGCCATGAGAAGAATGTCGATCCAGGGAAGCTGTGTCATCAGTGGAAGAACTGGATCCAGTGATATCACAGACCAGCTGCTCTTCTTCAGGCTGTAATGGAAAGAAAGCAAGTATGGCTGAAACTAGCTGAACCAAGCAAACCATCTCAGTTACTTCAGATGAAGCCAATGGCTTCACAGTGGGTCGCAGGCAGGTAAGATCATAGCTGACTTCAAACAAACATAGATTTTTATTTTTAAAGTACAATCACTGCTGGATTCAAACCTCCTTGGGCCTCCAGTAAAGAAATGGTTTACGTTTATCCTCTTTCTAGAGGTACTAGACTAGAAATACAAACTTTTTCTTTCCTTTAGAGGAAAGAAAATCTAACTTAGGTTAGTTCTTTCAGTCAATATCATCAACTGAGCTGAAAGAAGCCCATCTAGCTTTGGGGTTTCTGCTGTATAATACTCTAAATCTAAGTAGTACTAGGCTTAACTTTTTTCTCCCCACAAGCTTTAACTGAAAACAAAGAGTCTGCTTGGCTACAATAATAATGTGAAATTAATATTCCAAAAGCAAGTCTGTGATTGTTCTTAGTGGCCTTTGAAAAATGCAGAATAGCTTACGAACTCACTTAAAGTCTGCCACAAATACCTAAACGGAAGAAAGCTGTTTCTTTTTCTTATTTCAGTGAGAACTGGCTGAGTGTTATGAAGCCAAACTACACATCAAATAATCAGTTCTGGAAATCAGGTCTTTGATAAAGTCATGATACTCTTTGCCTGCAACCTCTAGAACCTAACAGGAATTGTGCAGCTTCAGTCCTAGTAGCCTGACATTCTCTACTTGTTGAAAGACATCAGAACACAGATGCTTCATGGCATCCAACAAAAGATAAAAGTGTCTAAGAGAGGTACGATCATACTCTCAGTTACAAATGTGAGCATGGTCTTAATATCTTTATTTTGCATTCTTACTGGATAGGAAAGCAGGGAACAAAAGGGCATTCTGTGATTTCTTTTTTTTGTCTTTTTCACAATATTTTCCTAATTAGCCAGTCTAATCAATGTTTTAATTAAGAGTGAAAAAATTAATGGTTCTTTGAAAATAAAAATGCATGTGAAATAATAAGCCCTTTCAGCTTTGGAACAGAAAACAAGCCCCATACCAGGAGAAAGATCTTTTTAAAAGTGTAATAAAATACTTCAAAAGCACACTACCTTCTAAAGCATTCTTTATACCTTTTGAGCTGGATCTTGCCAGCTAATGTAAGATTTTCTTCTACTCTGCAGAATCCAGTTTCCTTGCTTTTTACATAATGTGTGGAATGAGGTTGAGAGAGAAGATGCAAGGGGATCACGAGAGGTCAAAATCCCTAGCCCAAACTGTCCAGTGGACTTTACCAATACACAGGTATGTGCAACAGAATCAAGATTTGAATCCATGTTGACTTTAACTCAAATTGCTATGCTACAATTTCTCAACCATCTTTTAAAAACCGTATAAGAACAAGATCTCAAAGTCCTTTCACTGGGTCCCACTATAAAATAAAAGTGTGCTTCACCAAGTAATTTGGAAAAAAGGGGGTAGCTATTTTTTAAAAATAAAATTACTGACTATTCTTTTTAAGTTAATGAGGAACTGACATCAGCATCCCAAAGGGTTCCTATTTGTGGGGCCACTCTCCACAGAGAAGGACAATGCAAATAGTCACAAATACCAACCTTACAGGACACTTTAAGAATGTCTTAGCTTTTTCACTGTGCTGGGTTGAAGAGTGTCCTCTTCAAATATGTGTATTTCTCAGAATGTGACCTTATTTGGAAACAGGGTCTCTGCAGACATAATTAGTTAGGATGAGGTCATACTGAAGTGACCCTAGATCCAACATGACTGGTGTCCTTATAAGAGAAGAGACAGAGAGACACACGGGAGAATGTCATGTGAAGACAGAGGCAGAGATTGCAGCAATGCGTCTACAAACCAAGGAACACAAGAACTGCTGACAAGCACCAGAAACTAGAAGAGGCATGAAACAGTCTTTCTCAGAGACCCCAGAAGGAAAGCAACCTTGCTGCCATGTTGATTTTGGCCTCCAGAACTGTGAGATAAAACATTTTTGTTATTTGAAGCAACCCACTTTATGGTTATTTGTTATAGCAGGCCTAAAAACTAACACACTCATTCTTAGCTGACTAAATTTCTGATTCTTAAAACAATGCCAAGCGACAAACAGGATAGACATCAATAAAGCAAAATGTGTGACAAGTCTGTTCCAAAACACACAAGAAAAACTTCAGAAAACAAGATCTCAGTTGGGTACGGTGGCTCATGCCTGTAATCCCAGCACTTTGGAAGGCAGAGGCAAGAGGACTGCCTGAGCCTAGGGGTTTGAGACCAGTCTGGGAAACTTGGTCAGACTTCATGTCTACAATAAATTAAAAAAAAAAAAATTAGGTGGGCACGGTGGCGCATGCCTATAGTTCCAGCTACGTGGAAGGCTGAGGTGGAAGGATCACCTGAACCCAGCAGGTCAAGGCTGCGGTGGCCATAAGTATGCCACTGCATTCCAGCTTGGGTCACAGAGTGAGACTTCAACTCAAAAAAAAAAAAAAGAAAGAAAGAAAAAGAAAAGTAACAAGATCTCTGAGTCAAAGTTCCCACTTACCCATTTCTCATATATTATTCTTATAAGTTAGCTCTTCTCAGTTTGGAAATAACCCACAGACTGTTGAAAAGGTGATTCTTCACTCTGGCATCTAGTCTTGGAAGGACACTGCCTTGAAAAAAGACCTGCTATCTCACTGGCGCTTTACTAATCTGAAATTCATGAAACAAACCACTTACCCTTTTAAAGACATTAAAATAAAATGGAAAAATTTTTCTAAAAGTAATTTCTCGGGAGGAAATTTTTTATTTTATTCTATTTTATTTATTTATTTATTTTTTGAGTTGGAGTCTCACTCTGTCGTCCAGAGTGGAGTGCCGTGGCACCCTCCCGGCCACCGCAGCCTCGACCTGCTGGGCTCCGGCGATCCTTCCGTCTCAGCCTTCCAGGTAGCTGGAACTACAGGCGTGCACTACCAAGCCCGGTTAGTTTTTGATTTATTGTAGAGACGAGGTCTCGCCAAGCTGCCCAGGCAGGTCTTGAACCCGCAGGCTCAGGCAATCCACTCACCTCAGCCTCCCAAAGTGCTGGGATTACAGGCTGAGCCACCGAGTTAGGTCTAGGAGAAAATTTTTTAAAAGGGAAAATCTTTGATGACTCGTACACATACACATGTAAAAATACATATGTACATATACATACACATATGCTATACATAGTTTGTCTGTAATATATCCGCAACAGCCTTTCTTCCTGGTGTGTGCTATAACATTTCCTGCTTTTAACTCTGATCTCACTAAAAAATGCTGAGGGAGTCTTCACTATAACTACATGATTTCTTTAGTCTTACACTCCTGGTAAGAATAAGGTTTACACAGAATAATATTCTTTTTGTGTGTGTGTGAGTATGCAGGGCTTTATTTAAAAGACAGGAAAGCTCCTGGCAGGGCAGCGGGAGGGGACCCGAAGGGGTTTTTCCAGAATAATATTCTTTTGTGTGTGTGTGTGTGTGAGTTGGAGTCTCACTCTGTCGCCTAGACTGGAGTGCAGTGGCCGCTCTGGGCCACCGCAGCCTCGACCTGCTGGGCTCCAGCAATCCTTCCGCCTCAGTCTTCCAGTAGCTGGAACTACAGCGCGCACTACCACACCCGGCTAATTTTTTATTTATTGTAGAGATGAGGTCTCACCAAGT